AAGCTAGTTCTTTATCTTAGCAAGTAGCATGTAACAATATACTACTACTAATAGTAGGCATAGATTCAGCAAGGTGCTGGAAACATTGCTCCGAGATTTTGACAAATATTGACATGATATATCACACAGTTGCTTCAGATTTGTCAGCTGCATATCCATGATGCGAATCTCCCATTCCACCATCTCCCAAAGGTGCTCTATTGGATTGAGATCTGGTGACTGTGGAGGCCATTTGAGTATAGTGAACTCATTATCATGTTCAAGAAACCAGTTTGAGATGATTTGTGCTTTGAGACATGTTATTCTACTGGAAGTAGCCATCACAAGATGGGTACACCGTGGTCATAAAGGGAAGGACATACTCAGGTAAGCTGTGGTGTTTAAATGATGCTCAGTTTGGCACCAAAGTGTGTCAAGAAAATAACTCCCACACAGGGCCAGATTAACATAAGGGCTAGGCAGGGCTGAAGCCCCAAGGCCTGAGCAACGAGGGGGTCCATGATTGGTTGTGGAGGAAAGGAAAGGTACGCCTATATTGATTGGCCAATGGGAGCTCCCAAACTCACACATATTATTTATCCTTGTCAAATGACTGCACTATTTCTCTCAAAAAGTTATGAGTGATGCAGTGTCTTTCTACTCATTAAAAGTAGTGTCTTAATAACCTCAGCTTTACTGGAGTGCATGAGAAACAAACACCAAAAGCCATGTAATGAAATTACACTACCTGCTTAAACTGCACAGCGTGAGAGAACAGCTGGACCAGACCAGTGACTGGCACAGCGCTTACGAACTAGATTGACGCTGTCGCCGCTCTATGGAAGTGACAACCAGCGTTTGATACATTATAATTCGACACATGATACGCACACCATTATATGTGAACAAAGACTCTGTGGGGAAGCTGGATGAATCCAGATTTAATAGCTCCATGTAAACTGAAGTCTTGAGGTAATCTGTACCCAACAGAAAATGCAAGCATTTCAGTCCACACAGCACCACCCCATACAGTTTTACCATACAGTTACTAAAGCTGTAGAAATATGGCATTATGGTCATTATTAATATTAATGTCACTATTGTTATAAGCTACTAATATTAAATATTGAGTAATTTAAGGGCAAAACGTAGATTTTATAGAGATTGTTTTAGTTTCAAGTATTCAAGAAAATATCAACAATATGTATTACTATTTGTTTCTGTCCTGTATTTATTAACAAATTATTTATTTATGGATATGCTGAATTTTAGCTCTCATATATATGATGTTAAAGAGCAAGTCATATGGGTTTTTGAAAAATATCTCTTTTGCAATTTATAACGTAGCTATCCTTAAATGAAAACTATCTGCAAAGTTGTTAAACAAAAAAGTGCTTAATAATTATAGACATTGTCTCTCAAAAGAGAGTCGATTCTGAATCGCCTTAACGAGTCGTCATATTTTCAAATCTTTTGCCTGTTACCAGTATACGTCACTGGGTAACACATTTGCATAATCCCCGCCTGCCAGTGAAATACGAACAGAGTCTGACCTGCCCACAAACACTTCCACTAGTTAGTGTGTTTACATAATGTCGAGAAGACGCTGTGTTGAAGGATACCACAGAAATACAATTCGAACCTTTTGCTGTGTGCATGTCATTTTACCAAGGACTGCTTCTCTAATCTTGGCTTTTATCTTTGTTGGCTTCTAATCTTCTTAATTTGGGCTAACAAGCTCTCCAAACCACAACCTGTAAGTACGATTGATACGTTATGTGTACATTTTCAATTGAGTGCTCAAAATATCAAGTTTGTGTGCTAATATGTGATGTATACCTAGCGCAGCTTTAGGTTTCCAGGTAAAGCACGATATTACTGTCTTACTGAAGTAGTTCTGATAATTCGCTGTGAACCCACTATTTCCTAGGAATGTGTCGATTAATGTAGACTGATGTTGTTCTAATTACTTCGTTTAATAATAAAGAATGTAGTATAGCACACAGACTTTATAATCATTGTGAAATTTCTGTTTATTTTGCTGCACCGGCAGTTATAGTGTTAATGCGGGAGAGACGAGAGAGTTAGTTAGGCTGGTGCGCCTGTGATACAGTTGTTCTGCGTTCTGATTAAAAGTTAAGACAGAGCGTCTTTTGTCTGTCCTTCTTCAAACATTACAGTAGACATATTTTGGTTTACAAACTATTGTTTCATCAGTTAGTCACGTTAGCACTCGGCTAACGTATCCACCATTATTGTTTTAAGTGTTCACAGTTTAGCAGCTAAATTTTAGCTGTGGGCACGATTCACTTGCATAAGTATTTTATGTCGTTATTATAAGAATGGATTGGAGCACTATATTATTGTTCTATGTAAAGGTGCTTTGTCAGTAGCGCTCACTAATGCTGAGTTCACACTGTACGATTTTAGCCCGATTTTTCACTCGCCGCCAGGTTTTGCGAATTCGCCGACAAATGCCTGAAATCGGAGGCAAATCGGTGTTCGGTCACACGAGTGACAATCACGCAGTGTGAATTATCAAAGACGCAATCTGAGAGAATCGCCAACGCGTCGCCAACGCCCGTGAAATATTTGGCATGTTAAATATCTGGAGCTGTTGGCGATTCACAATCCTGCTGTGTGAAATGAGTTCTGACTGAAAAACACATCGGCGATGACCTACAGCCAATGAGAGAGCACGATACAGGGCAGTGGGAATTTCGGGGAGGAGGTATATGAAACGTAGTTTGTGGACCAGTGTTGCCAAATCCGCGATTGCCGTCGGTTGTTTTTCATGTCAGCAGGTTGAAGCGACCCCAATAACGTGATATTTAGGCCCTGAAATGTGAATTGTACCAGGAGAACCCCGCCAAAAAAATTTGTAATTTACCCCCCGAACGCGGGGGACCCCCTCGAAAGCAATTGGGTTATTTTCAGGCTCGTTTTGAGTAGTAATTGGGTGGGATTTGTACCGAAAACCTGGCAACCCTGCACCAGACAGAGCTGTCGGTGATTCTTCCTATTGTAAAGTTATGCAGTGTGCAACCTCCTGTAGTCGTTCCATCATGCAGTGTGAACACAGCAACAACTGAATGCTACCCCAGATAGTCATTCAGTGTGAAACCAACAGTGATGCGATGTCTTTGAAAATTGTGCAGTGTGAACTCGGCATAACTTGCTCAAGGACTCCTCTCTGTGCCAATCACAGCAGGCTTGGCCAGCTGACCAATCAGAGCAGAGTAAGCTTATGGAAGGGAGGAGTTTGCTCTGAACTTACTTGGAATTAATCGTTTCGAAATCATTGGCAAATTACTAATATTAAATGTATATTCTGAGAAAATTACAATGTTTTCTGACCTTAGATGCATTTAAACCTGTTGTAGGGGACTCCAACACAATATTAGGACACTTTAAAATACCATATGACCTGCTCTTTAATGAATTAATGCTTTTAAAATGTTGTAGTCTAGAATATTTAGTATGCATATTCCTTGTATTTCTGTGTTGGAGAATTAATGGAAAAAATTAAAAAAAGAACAACAACAATATTGTGACACCAAGATAGGCCATTATAAGGGGGCCATTTGGTTTGCTATAGCCCAAGGGCCCTATGTGTTCTTAATCCAGGCCTGCTCCCACATCATTTCACCAGCAGCCTGAACCGGTGATACAAAACAGGATGGATCCATGGTTTCATGTTGTTTACACCAAATTCTGACTCTACCATCTAAATGTCACAGAAATCATGACTCATCAGACCAGGCAACATTTTCCCAATCTTCATATTCAGATCAGCCCATCTTGCACCAACAGCCATGCCACATTCAAAGTCACTTAAATTACATTTCTTCGCCATTCCGATGCTCGGTTTGAACTTCAGCAGATTGTCTTGACCAACACTGTGTCTATACCGGATGTGACCGCTGTTGCACTGTCTTTTGTCATGTAATGTCATGCTGCTCATGTCTGGTGTAGACACAGTGCAAGGCTACAAGTCTAAATGCAATGAGTGATTGGCTGATCAGTTAAACAGAGGCATTTAATAAAGTGGCCGGTGAGTGCGTGTATGTATATATATATATATATATATATATATATATATATATATATATATATATATATACTGTATATATACACATGTGTGTGTATAGTTATTTATATAATTGTAATTGTATGCCACTTGATATTAACTGTGGAACTGCACCTGATTTTATAGGCCAAAAAACATAGAAAACCACTTCTGTAAAAAAAACAGCTTGTTGGCTTATTTCAAGGTCTAAAACTTTGTATAATTTATTTGATAAATGTATATGGACAAAATACATCAGGACCAATGGCCACTGCAAATGTGGGTAATCTCTTTACAAGTACAGAGTTTATTTAAAATTCTTTAGTCAAATATAAAATTATGTCTGGGGAGTTTGGCACAGGGGGCAAGGCCTTGCCTGCTAAAACTCAATTGAGCTACAAAATGTGCAATAAGATGATGTCAACAAATGCTAGTGGACAAAGTACTGTACCCTTATAATGACTGCGAGGCACTGAATTCAGTTTAGGTTAAGCACTTTACATATGCAGCTACATCATAATTTTGATCATTTTTTCTTTTTGGATCAAGATGTCATTAACTTCAATGCAGTTTAAGATTTCTGAGGTTAGAAGATAAGCAGTAAAATAAACAACATGCTGGGAAAATGACTGAAGACAAGGAGAACGTCCCTCTTCAACCCCCACCGATCAACGTAATAGAAACATCACAATAACTACCACAGAGAAAAAGCCTTTTCCCAACCGCATAATATAAACTGACATTTCCATCTGTTCAATGGTTCCTCAATGAAATACAAATCAAACATGACATGAAAAATGAAAGGTCTGGAACACATGAGAGGATCCTGACAGTCTTTATCCTGGAGAACAGCTGAAAGTCACGCAGCATTTGTTTTGCTGTAATTTTAGGTTAGGTTCATTTTTAAACTATTGGATGTGTATAAACTTGTGTGTCATGTACAGGTACTCACCAGGGTTGCCTTTTCTTCCACGTTTTCCTGGAGGACCTGTGAAAAGAGGGTAACGGTGGGTGAATTGCATATATTTATGTATAATTTATGACTTTGATTGGTCAATGACCATTACAGCTGTGGTCATACTAGAGAAATATCAGTGAAATTTCACATGCAAAAAAAAATCCATCTGTCTACTCTAAATAGTGTAGTGATGTATGAAGCACCATCCACACATTAATCATTGTAAAACAAAGCAGCTTTCTGTATGACCAATTAAATTGTATGTGTGATATAAACTATTGTCTTTAGCAACAGCCTGTGCAGATATCACTGATCCCTTCCTCAATGTGAGAGGAACATATCCTTTTCCACAAGCTGGGCTGATCTGTTCTGGTGGAAACTTCCCCGGGAGTCTCCACCCCCAGATAAGAGAGGTGGGAAAAGATGCCTTGCGACAGACACAAGGAAAGACGATTTTTGTAGTCCCCTTCTGCAGCATAATAGTAGCCAAGAATGACATCATATACTGTAGGTCCAGCCAAACAAACACAAAGACCTCTTCTCACAAAGTAAAGTAGCAGAAACAAGAGAAAATAGAGGAAGGCTGAATTTAGCAGATCCCAGAAAGCTTTGAGAAAAGCTGAATTACATTTACGCATTTGGCAGTGCCATGCTCTACTGAACTACAGGAAAACACTACAAAAGTTTGTGTTGTAGCGTCTGGACCAATCAAAAACACAATTTTTCATTTGATTTAACAAATCAGTTATTCATTAGATTAACAAGTCGTCACAGACCCCTCACCCAATAGACTGGGCGCCAAGATGTCTGCGAATGACCACAGGCCACTGGTTACCATGGCAACCACGACACCTTTGCTAGACCAGATAAATTTATGACCTAATGGCATGTTGAGAATTACCCCTCTCACTACAATTTCCATAGGAAAGACACAGTGCACAGTAGAAATGGACTCTTCTCTAATTAATCCATAGGAAAACCTTTCTTTGAATGAACACACATATCCTTCAGGTCACTGTGTATGTTGTCTTTGAGATTTTATACTGTTTTATGCAGGCTTATGATGGAAACACTCATTCCTGTCATCTTGCCTATATGTAACCCTACCATGTTTAGTATCTATGAATTCGCCTTCTGAAGATCTAAACGAGAGTGTATATTATATGTTGGTACATAGGCAATATATTAGTGTTCTTAGAATCATTCAGTAATTTCGATTCAAGTTCCATATGCAAATGACCATGCTTTCACACAAAGGGTCATAAAAATCCCCAGTATGTCCAACCTCCCGCTTGGGACGTCAGCCTTTCTCATTGGACAAGCCCATTTTGAGAGGCGGGAACCTTCCGAGACCTTAAAGGCCTCACACCAAGGACCCGCCCAGAGTCGGTGGTTCTGTTAGGTTTAGAGAAGATGTGAGCTACAACGCTCCAGGACATCCTAAGTTTTGTCCTTCGGCCTTGACTTTTCCATTCACCAAGATTCTCTGACGCAAACTGGTTCTTTTTCATCAACCAACAAAGATCAACTTGAACCTTTGGACTGCATCATGACTTTCTTTCAGACAGACAAGACGTGCAAGTATCAAACTTAGTCTTATTAATTGAATTTTTCACATAATTTACCTTTATTCCACACCTCTCTGTCCCTTCTCCTCTGAATGCGCTGATCATTTCCTGCTTTTATGAAGCCCCTCCCTCAGAAATACACGATGGGCTCTGATTGATTAGCTGGCCCAGTGTGTTGTGATTGGCTAAACCGCCTCTAGCACGCGTCTGAACGTCCCACCCCTCAACATAGTGGCATGTGCTCCGGTTGTATTGTAAACAATGACATCGTCTATATTGCTTATCAATTTGAGCCTGATTGAGACGCAGAGGATATTAGTGAAGAGGATCGCACAGAACCTGTGCAAGCACGGCTTTTAATGGTAGGCCTAAACTTTTTGTTTGTTGTTGTCTCATACTTTTAGATACTCTGTTATTTGTAAATGCTACTGCTTCTGTTAACTTTTAATATATGGTTTTATTCTGATTAAAGCTTTAATACAGTTCGGCAACCGCACGCGCGTCCATGTATAATGCTTCTCATAGCTATAGTATGTGAAAATAAGTGTATTCACTGAGCTGATGATCTGAATGAGAGAGAGAGATGCAGAGCGTGTGCAGAGCAGGGTGAGGCCAGGAACAGGATGAGAATGCTGCTTTAGAACATTGATTTTGAAACTTGTGAATCCATTATAATCGTTAGAAGACAGAATTGCGATTCATATATAAATAGATTTTTACGTGCAACCCTAGTTTTCTCTTCCTCTTCTCTAAAGCAGCGCAGCATGGCCTCACCCCCTTTGCTGTGTGTTCCCGGAGGCAGGGTTTATGGAAAATTCTGGGTTCTTGACATAACGGATCTGGGAAGTAACTCGTTGTAGTCCCTTACCAGTCGTTTTTGCAGGCATTAAACTGCCAGATTTTTAAAAGACGATATCTCTGCATTGAACTTTCAGCTTCGTAACTTTGCAAATATTGTTTATGATCAAACAGCAACATTACACACTAACTAACATTAAAAAAGTGAAATCGCAATCAACCACCCCGTTAACTACAATTTGAATACTAAATGGTTAGGATCAGGGGTGTCCAATCCTGCTCCTGGAGGGCAAAAGTACTGCAGAGTTTAGCCTCAACCAGCTTCAACACACTTGCCTGGAAGTTGGGTCTGAAGATGGTTTAGATGCTTCAGATGCATTTAATTAGGGTTGGAGATAAACTCTGCATGTCAGTGGCCATCCATGAACAGGTTTATACACTCCTGGTATAGACAATATAAATTCGTAATTTAAGATGCCACCACTAAAACACAGTAAAAAGCAGGATTATTTGCTTTGATCAATTTGAGATAATTTAATAAAAACATTTTTCATAATCGGAAGTTGCAGCCCTCCTAATGCTCCTTACTAGGAAGCAACAGCACTGAAGGTACATCTTCTTCTTCAACACATTTTATTGCATACAGTACTTCAGAAAAACTAGAAACTATAGTGGACCAAAAGTGACCTTTGTTCATTTTTCGGCTGTTTGTGCTACTTCTGACCTTTTCATAGATGCTCTTGTGTCTCATCTACATGGGCAGGGCTCTTCTGAGACCTTCTTTTTTTCCACTGAGATGGTATGCATCAAATTGATCAAGTTAGTGGCAAGTTAAGTACGGCATTTATTGATTTGCCAAACAACTGGGTGTAATAAAGATGTTTTCCCTCAGACAATACTGTACACATTGTTCTTTTACTGAAATTATATTATTCTAATGCACACAAGCTTTTATTTGTAGGAAAAAGACATACTTCTACCCCAACCTTTGCAACAGGCCCTGTGTTAAAAGGTGAGGCATATGACATTAATTTATAACTTTTATTACTCACATAAAACCTGATTATACTACAAAGTCTCAAAATTTGCAACCATGTTGAGTACAATATTTGTCATCAAATCATGCAAAGTGTATTTGGTGCTATTTAGCATTTGAGGGATTCACACAAAAAAAATGGAAATCATGGTCTGTGTGAAAATATTTCATGAACAATGACTGACAGCCATAATGTCTGGTTTTGAATATGTGAGTGTCATATGGAAGACATTTTGCACACTCTGCTCTACGCTCTGTGGTAATCTATACCAACACCCTTATAATGTCTCGCATAAACATCAGCTCCCCTCCACAGGGCATGAGCTGGGCGTGGGAGATTTATCACAGGGAAAAGCTGGGTCAGGCACTTTTTAGATTATGCATCTTTTACTGTTGAAATTACCCTTGCCAAATATGTTTGGAGGTAGAGTTCGCTTCCTGTTCTCCTCATTGAAACCACCATAATGCTTGTCAACAAGTTTACATTAAACTTCATGATGCCTGATGGCTTTTCCAAAAGCCTGTCTGTTAAGCCCTTTTGATAATATGAATATCTCTACAAATCCGCTGGTTCATCCTCTAACCTCCAGCTCGCTCCTCTCACTTCAGTCACATACACAAACTAATGTCTGTGTGACAATCACGAAGGCCCTATGTTAGCACTTTGCAGAAGTGTACTGTATATCTAAGCAATTACACACGCAAGAACGCTGCTGTTCCAAATCAATACCAACAGCATTATTAGAAGTATGATAGCTTTCATAAAACATTTCAACAAACAAAAAAAAATCGAGAAACATTTTAGACACAAATATTTTCACTTTGTCAGTTTTTGCTTCGCCAACGAAAGTAGGCTAGTCCAATCAAATCCAAAGCAGAATCTCTCGTTGGTTCAGTATATGACTCAAAAACTGTGTCTGAAATTGCCCTCTATACCCTTAGTGCACTAGGGCACAATATCAAGTACACACATTCCATTCCACAAAGTACCTCAAAGTGCATTCACGCCATGTTGTAATTATCATAATAACGAGATTCCAACTTGTAAAAGGCGTTCATATCCTTGTAGAATCATAATTACACCTGATAAGCTACAATTTGTATCACCTGACTGCTGCAGTGTCAGCCTATTTGGTGTTAATAGTGTTGCCACAGAAAAGCATAATTCCAAGTCCAAGGACATGAACAGCACAGAGTAGAACATCACGTGATTTGACAACATGTACAACATGGCGTGGATGCAGCATCAATAACACGTGTACAATGATGTACACTTAACAACTATCCACTAGTGAATACTCATTCATTGTCAGCGTTATGTCAAATCAATTCTGCGTCTCACCAGAAGATGGAATCGCCAGCACCTCCATGCATTCACGCATTTGGTATACTATATTAGTGGGCGTATAGGGGCCAGGATTGTCAACACATCCAAATACTGGCTCATAAAGATGGTCTCTTGTATCTTAATGCTCATAAAGACGAAGACGATTTTTCGTTCCTTGTTTTTTAATGATTGGTTGAGTGCATAATTAAAGGACTCGCTCATGAAGGTGTTTTTTTCTAAATGAATCAGTGTTTCTGAAAGAATCATTAACTCAAAGACAGACACTGATCGCCACCTACTG